TGTAAGCCCAGCTATTTGTGGTGTCGGGCCTTGGCTTTCCATATTTGTTAACCTACGTTGTTCAAAGGGCCCATACCTCCAAAACCTGCTTCGTCTACGCCAACCGGTACAGGATTTTCCGCAGTATGATCACCCCACGCCCCAAGCTTGCGCCAGAAAGCAGCGCCCGCCCCGTCTGCGTCGCGAGGAAGAAGGCCTTCTGGAAGAGCTTGGCCTGTGGATCAACTGGCATTGCGCGAACATGTCTAACCCGGTTGTTTACACACGGGCTTGTCTCTGAGAGGGCAGGGGCTCGCAATACGGGCTGATTCCATTTCAGAACCCACAACATGGTACCCTCAGAAAGAGACGCACCCACATGAACTCATGTTGGGTACCCATCGAAGGTCCTGGCAACTGTTTGTTGAAGCCGAAATTGCAGCCCAAAACTGGATGAAAGCCAGGGCTGCTTGCTAGGGTTCGCTTCTTCAGACATGGCGCGGGAAGATGACGTGCCAATGAACCACGCACAGTGCTTTGCTCATTGAATAACAAACTTTAACCAGCTCGTGATACTTTAGCCAACGTTCCTCATTCAATAGCCCGTTTTCTGCTACCCTTAACCAGCCAATGTTTGCATCGCCGTTTCTTTCACCAACTTGTGTGGTGTTCTCGGTTGGCATGCTCGAACCTCTGCGGCTCAAGCTCAAACCAAAACGTACTTCAACAATTGTTGCCCTACAAAGCCCTGCGTTCCGCATTTGTTCGCTTCAAGCCCCAAATTGGCTCCAACAACCGCCCAACCTGAAACTCCAAACCCTCATAACGCAAGCCCGGAAACATGAAACACACGCGCACACGACCTCTGCTTACTATGACCCAAACATCTAAAACCCAAGACTTTGCTGATCCCAACCCAAGCCCCGGGGCCCGAAATTCTGATACCACCAGACCTCCATGGCACTCGAGAGAAGGGCGTGGATCTTCCTCAACCAGTTTTGTTGAACGCTACTGGTTCAACCAAGCCATGTTTTCCAGAGGCTTTCCTGGCATGGATCTTCTGTTTGCAGGGACCTCCCTTAAGGAAACCCCAACGAAACCAAAGGAACCCATTTCCCAGGGTCCAGTCCCGGATGCCAAAATTGCAGCTGATGAATCACACCCGAGAAATACTGGGGCTGAACCAACTGGTGTGTCCGATTCGAAGACTTCGCCTGGATATCCCCGCAGCTCCGCATCCAGGACTCCTGGGTTTTCGCGTTGCATCCCATGAGCTAAAGCCTTGTGTTACAACGAGAGACACCAAAGTGGAACCCATGTTGACTGGCAAGGTTTTACGGTAACCATGGTGACCGTCAACGGGCTCTTGGGACAAGGCTGCAGGAATCCGACAACCAGTTTGGAGGGGAAGAGGCGTCCTTGCAGCCTTGTGCCCGTAGAACGGTTGCTACATATCACGGCAGGAGCCGGAAATTCTTTCAAAGGCCAGAAGCAAACATATTAGTTACAGAAGGGTTAGACTACCATTAGACCTTGTCTGAGCATGCCTCAATTGGATGAGCTCTTCTCTCTGGTAGCAGAAGGACCCCAAAATGAGTCCAACGATGTGGAGATGGTCAGTTGACCCTTCCTCAAATCCGGTCCTGGTCATCTCGATTCGCGTATGTGGCATGAGAGCTCTAAACCGACCCAAGAGCCATCGTCTCCTTGCCGTCGCAGATGCAAATGACGACCCCAAAGAGCACGTTGTACACGTTACAGAGGTACTCCTTTGGCTGAAACGCCACCTCCAGTGGCCCGGCGTGAATAGAAACCCGCCGAGAAAACCGGGTGACAATCGGGACTTTGCATATTGTTTTTCGGGATGGGGGAGACCCTCATTGATGAGGGCGTCTCCCAATCTAGAGGGACCCCATGGCTTTTGCGCAAGGTTATGCTCAAATCCGGAGTCTACCTCAGCCCTTAACTAACTCTTGATCTTCCAGCTAGCTTGGCTTCAATCGCTCCGAACATTTGTCCTTGATTTCCCACCCTCCCCCCCGGTCTTGTGGTGTCCCATCTCTTTGTTTTATCATGTGAGAAGATTTCCGGAAACCTCCAAACCAACAGCCAGAAACCACGGCACGGTGATTGCTGGCTCCTTCCTGGTGACACCCGGCTTTGGTTGCAAAACAATTTGTAGACGCCCACAGGAAGCCGGGGCTTTCTTGGTTTCCTTGATCAAGGGGGAAGCAAAGGAGAAAGCCTGGTTCTTCGGGAGGTGCCGGGAGCCCTTCATTTCCAGCTTCGTCCATCTCAAAATGGGCTGAACCCCATTTTGGGCGCTCAGCCGAAATGGGAGGCTGCCAAAAAAAGATCCGAAACAGTGCTCGTTTGTTGCCCCACCCGTGACGCGCATTGATGTCCATGGCAAAACACCAAATTTGGAGAAATTTGGAGAAACCTCGATTCGCTAGCTCACAACTAAGCCCAACACTTTCTGGACCCGACTTGGGAACCTCCAGAGATTCATACTGCATTGATGGCTAGGAAACCTTCGCCTGGGTCCCAGTTCGCGCCTTGAGTTTTCACAGGCATGGTGCTCTGCAGGTGCCATCGCAGGTAGGGACAAACATCCGAAGCTCAAGTCAAACATGGCCACTGGTGACGCTCCACCGTAAGTCCTAGTTGGACACGGTGGTAAAGGGTGGGTTGTTCAAAACCAACTTCAGTCATGAGAATGGGAGCAAAATGTGAGGAATCCTTACACAGAGCCTCCGGGAAGGCGTTCCGCGATGGATGCGCTTCGGTGCCCGCTAATTACCCCCGCAACCCATTGAAGGTTTATTTTTTTTCGCGGATTGATTAGGCGGTCCGAAAGAAAATGCGACACCCAGCCCCATCCCCCAGTCGTCCACCAGGCAAATCGAAATTCCAAGCCGAAAAATGAACCCCTTTATCCCAGGAAACTGAAAATACCGAAAAATGGCCCCTCCCCTTTATCCCATCGCCATCCGCCATCCGCCCGCGGAGTCCCCCGCCTGGAAGGGATTGATGCAGCCCAAGATGCTGAAGGCGATCAGCACCAGGCCCACCACAAAAGACATGATCTTTATGCTCGAGGGGTTCTCCTGAATGTAGGCCTGCGCCAAAAAAGAACCGAGAAAGGCTTACAGGGAGATCGATTGGGAACCCTTCAGACTGGCAGGCCGCACAGCTAGGTCCCCCTTCAAGAATTGCCAAATGCCATTGCTCTGGCCACGTGAGGCACGATCATTATTCATTTGCGGGGAATCCTGGGCACGAGAAAGGATCGCCACCCGGGTTCAACCTTAGTATCCAAAAAAGGGCCAACGCTGGGACCGCAGGGAAGTGCTGGGAAGCTTCCCGTGGGCACTGATACCGGCCAAAAAAGCCCTAATATTACCCGCCTGAGATCGCAACCGAACAGAGCTGTGGAAGATGGCCTTGGCAAGGGAAATAGAGCGACCTCCAGTCCCTTAGACTCCCTCCCCCTCTTCCGCTCTCCACCCCACGCATGACCGAAATCGCTACTAAGCCACTAAGTAAGAACTATGCTAAATCAAGGACACATCGAGGGACAGAAGAAAGCAACATGAAGACTGAATGGGGCAAAGCTACCATGTTGCGCGCCTCAACCCATCTGAGCAAATCCAACACCTGACAAACATTCCCCTCACACCGCAAGCCACCAACCCCCGCCTCACCCACCAAACCCCGCGGCCACCCCGATCCCAAATCTCCCAGCATCCCAAATCGCCGTGCCTTCACCTCGAAGAAGCCATGCTTGGCCCTAGCCCCGACCTGGCGCCAGAGCTCGAGCCTTCCTCGTGTCCCTTCCAAGACTTTCCCTCTGCAAAGGGGCGACCGCAACCGGGTTGCTGCTTTTTCACCATTTCGTGGTTTTTCTCTTCGGCTTCCCGCTTAAAGCAACCCCGAAACAAGGCCTCGCACCGGTCTCGCCCCAAACCCGACGCCGACGCAACAAAAAGACCCCTCCGCGCTCGCGCCTCGCGCACGCCTGTCTCCGTCGCGGCGCTGGCCATCTGCCGCTGGAGCTCAGCGGCCGGGGCACTGTGCGGCTGGCCATAGACCTCGAAACCCGCGTTGGCGACACGCGACCGCAGGCGCAGAGCTCCAAAGGTCCACTCCCAAAAAAAGGGGCAAAAGGTTGGTAGTTGGTAGTTGGTAGATGGTTTTTTTCAGGGGCAGGGAGTGAGGGGTCAATTTTCGGTATTTTCTGTTTCCTGGACAAAGGGGTGCATTTTTCGACTTGGAGCTTCGATTCGGGTCGGTGAATAGCTTGGGTTGTAACCCACCAGAGTTAACTTGACTTGGGACTTAGAAGTGGTCAACCGAGGTTACCAACAACTGACTAACGCGGCCGAACACCCAAGTCAAGGTTCTCAGAAGCGGCTTAGGGGTTCTTAGAAAGCTTGAAACGGAACGAGCCAAACTGCGAACGGCCCCAGACATGGTTTGGACACGGGTGACCGTTGGGGACACCCGCAGCCTGGGCGGCTAAATCCATCCCAAGAACGGAGTCGGACCCACTTCGCCCTGCCACTACCCACGTTACGAAAACAAGGATGTCAGATTTTCCAGTCAAGGAACGACCTTCTATCCAGGAAATCGTCGGGGAAAGCAATGTTGTAGGCACCCCAAGAGTCCAACAACCACTCAGGCAATTCCGCCCACTCAGGCAATTCCGGCTCGTGTAACCTCGGGTTTGCCACTTGGACAGCGCTTCCTAACCTTGGTCGCCTACTGACCCCCTTTCAAGTCCTGCACCGCCCGAACCGCCAAACTGGGCTTTGGAACCCACCGACTTTGGTCCCGCCGCCGATCGAAACAAAAAAAACTCGACTCGCCTGGGCCGGTGCCGACGCCATCGCGGGATGGCGCCGGCCTATGCAAATGGATCGAACCCGTCGATCTATCGATCACTTCGCTTGAGGCGTCGTCGGAAGCCGTGCGGCACGGTCGCGCTGTTCGCTACCAGGGCAAACCCGCTGAGCCTTAATCAAACCATGGTATGAAAGTGGTCTATCCAAAACCATGCAAAGAATCAAACAAGCAGATATCCTTACCCATTTCTGGCTGGGACTGTCCCCTACTAGTCTCCTCTTGCTCGGGTTTTGATTGTGGCTCCCATCTTTGTGGGTGGGTGATCGAGGAACACCGAGGGTCTCGCATTGGAAATTCAAATGGGGCAGCAAAATATTTAATCTAAAACACGGGCCCATGTCGCTGCCGTGGGGGGAGCAACTGTGTGAAGTTGATGTGTTTTCCTTCCTGGCGAGTCCCTCTTAGCTGATGGCCCTCCCAGCATGAGCCACGATCAATGTTCAGATGTGGCTGACATTGATTTGATTAACCTCTGAGTTCCAAGTTTGGCAAGTATGGCCCGTGTCGGTCCCTGAGGGAAAGTAGATTGCACGAGTCATACAACAGTTCCATCCCTTTTGCTTGCCAACATGAAGGGAGCTCCATCCACTTCCGGTCATACAGGCTCCAAGTGGCGACATCATGACCTCTCTCCTTATGGGCAGCCCACTTGCCAAATCTGCGGGCATCCGCCCGTTTGATACAAAAGCTGTTACGACTCATGTGGGCAAGACAAAAAGGTCTAACCAGTCTAGGCAAGGGAGCACTAGCTGGGGAAACACCAGAATGCATGCGCAGGGGGGGGGTGGAAAATCCCAAAGCTAGGGCAGACGCCCAAAAAAATGTTGGGGGAACAATGACAAGTGTGGAAACATGCCGCCCTCATCTGCCCAAAGGACCTGGAAATCAAAGGCTCACCCTTGTGGGCTCTCGAACAAAAAACGGAATTGTCCAGAAACAGGAAAGCCAGACCTAAAACATGTCGATTCGCTCTGGACAGCTCGAATGGGAGAGCAACCTAGACAAACATATTGAGGGAGACACCGAAATCATTGAATCATGGACCTCCTGCGGCGGGACAAAGCACCTACTGGTGCGAGGCGGGCCATATGCACCCAAAATGTGCCCGCCCACCCACCCACCCACCCACCCACCCCCCACCATGTTCTTACGGAACTCCTGGTAGCTCCTTGAGCAAAATTTGGCTACCCCAGCTGAGTCCGGCTCCCTTCTGGCTACCCCCCAAACCCCAACGCCTGCTCCGGCGCCACGATGCGCCGGCTGGAGCCAACAGGGCCCGCGGATCTGGGCGGAGCGTTTTGGGCTGTGGGGAGAGTTTTGCGGGTGACTCCTAGGGCGGAGGGGGCATTGATTAAGGGTATTGTTCTGGCTGCTGGTTGGCTTGACTTTTTTTGGCTAGTGAGTTTTGGAATTGTGCGGGATATGCGGAGGGCGGAGATTGAGGAGAGTGAAGAGTTCACATTGCTTTCGCCACATCGGCATGGAATTGACTGCCAGGATCCTCTTTTAAATTCGGATGCTGTTTGGGGTGCTATGTTGGTTTGTAGGGAGGCAAAAAGGAAAGAGAGAGCTGGGACACGGTTTCCAGCCAAAAGGCTCCAAAGGCAGTCATACCAAGGTGGCTCAGCAATCACCTGCCCCTGCAAATGGCAGGGTCCCTCTTGGTTTCCTGTGCGATCCCATTTGCAAGGTAACCCCTATGAAGCGCAAGGCTGCTTCAACACACACACACACACACACACACACACACACGCACCTCTGAGCCTGATGCTGTCTCCTCATTCCGATCTCCTTTCAGGTTGGGATACCCAAGCAACAAACATGAGGACGAGTAATGTTGACCCCGTATTAGATATCCCCCCCCTATTAGTCCGGTCCGGGTGAACCCCCCCAATACTAAACAATTCATATCTCAGAAAAACCCCCCTAACTAAAAAAGGGTTCCAAAACAACCCCCCCCAATTAGACCGGTCCCTCCCCCAGATGGCTGCTGCTATCTCATTTTGTCCACTGCTTCTTGAGCTCATTTCTTAGAAATGGATGAAAATGTCATCCACATTGACAACTCACATGCATGCAATTCACAGCATGTACTCTGCACATATGCTTCTTCCTAGTCTCTTGCCTTCCCTCCTCATCCAACAGGCTGTGCACTTCTCAATGCTGCATGATAAGCAGCCTGATTGGAACCTGCATCTACTGCACACTCCCACCTCATAGTGTTTGAGTTTCTCAATGGCCTTTTGATACTCTGCAGGCAAATCTGAAATCTGCAGCTTGGAATTCTCATTCACAATGGCCATGGCCTCAATCTGCAAGGAAGTCAATGCCTCACCCTTCTTCATTTTCTTGCATGCCCTATAGGTCTTCTTTCTTTCCTGCATGACCTTCTGGCCATACTTCTCCAATAGAACAATAGAACAATGCCATTGGCAACATCTTTCTTCTTCATGTCTATCGCCTTCTGCAACTGGGGCATGAATTTCTGCATCCTGGCATGCCAAGCTTGCATGGCCTCTTCAGGCCACCCAATGGCAGCAGGGCCATGTCCAGACAACATGGCAACCTCCATTTCCAAGTATGCCATGATATACCATCCACACAGATTGGAGCCAACAGGCTGCCTGATGCATGCATTGGCTCTGTCCAATGCAGGCCTGATCAAGAAGTCCTCATCCACGATTTCGTTGTTCAAAAGCCATGCCAAAACTGCATGTGCCTTGTGCAAGCATGGCTCACTCACAGTTGTCAGTGTCTCATAATATCTGATCTGCTCCTGCTTGGGTATGCCTGGCCTCAAATCCACTACCAGGAGCACAATATGGTAACCAGCAGCAAATGGCATGAGAAAGCATTTGGCCTCAGCATAGTAAAAAAGAAAAAGAAAAGTCAACCAAACAATGATCAACAAATGCAACCCTGCTGCGCCTTGCCCTTCATCTTCTTCAGCACATATGAACTGATGCCCTCTTGGTTCATGTATTGAGCATCCTCAGATAGAATGGCATGCAGCGCAGTTGGATGGATGAACTCCACATCCTGGATGTCTCCCATGGTTTTCTTTGTAGCCATTCATCTAATGAGACCATAAGCAATGGCCACAGTCTCAATGTCCACATCTGAATGGTCTTTCCTCAGATCAGCCAATGAAAAAAGCATGCTCAGCACAGACCGGACTAATAAGGGGGGGTAAACAAATGGGTCCAAAAATGCTAACTAATATTAGCACAAAAGCTTGATAACTTCCAGCTCACCCCATGAATCCAGCAATGCAGGGTCTTCAAATATGATCCCTGCATCTAGCAGGATCTCTTGCTTGTGCCATCTCTGCAATGTCAGCTGGTGCCATTTCCATTGCTTCTTATCCCCTTCCACTGGCTCCAGGTAGCTCCTATCGACCCATGCAGTCCTATTCTTTTTATGAAGCCCATCAGCTTCAAGAAGCACATGCAATACTTTCTCTGATGCCCCCATGGCAGTGCCTTGCCTACCAAACAATGAAGGGCCAGCATGCTCACTCACCACTCTCAGCTTGGAAGAAGGAATGTCCAACTCATGCTCTTCCAATGGCGCTGGGGGGGATGATGGTGGTGGCAATGGGGGCTCATCAGGCAATGGCTCTGCTTTGGCTGGGTGTGAAGCAAATGCCTTGGGCTGCTGCTGCTTATCCTCAATCTTCTCTTTGGCTTTGGTGGCAGCCATCTTTGTCTTTGAGCTTATTTTTCCTCATCTTCTTTGCAAGTTGTTTCTTCTTCACTGTGTTCTTCTTTTTTTGGTGGATGCTGATGGCACTTGGGCAATCAACTGCTCATGTCTGCTATCAGTCATCAAAGCCTTCTTGATCTCTTCCTTCTCATCAGCTTCCAATTTCTTTGCTTGCTTTCTCTCCTCTTTTCTCTTTGCCTTCTTTGCTTTCATCTTGTCTCTTTGTTTTCTGGCCTCATCACTCATCTGCACGTCTTTCAGCATGGCTTTTCTTCTCAAATCCAAAGGCAGCTGAAACTCACCAGCCTGCACCCATTCTGGCATCCTCATCCTCGAGAGCTGGCATGTCAGCTTCTAATGGTGTGGCCTGTGCGTAATCCCATTCATCACTCAGCTCTTTGGCTCCATCTATCCTCTCCCAATTGGGCTCATTGATTGTGCAGCCTTCATCAAGCACATGCGCCAATCTATTGTCCAGCCATGTTTTGCTGATCCTCTTGGATCCCAATGGCTTGTCTTTGGCCCAATCTTCTTCACCACACCATCTCATCTTACCTGTGGCATCAGGTCTGACTGCAAGGAATCCATTGCGTCTGAGGCCAGCCAAAACCCATGCTTTCTCCTCATTGGCCTCCACCATTTGCTGCATAGCTGCATCTACAGCAAAAGCTATGCTGATCTTAGGCAATTCTGTGGAATTTGTCTGCATGGCCTCCACCTTCTCATCAATGTGTGTTTTCACAGCTGCCTTGAACTGATGGCTGAAATCTGTATCTGTCAGCTGCATGGCACTGGTCATCTTTGCCTGTATTGTTGATTGTGCTTGATGAGACAAATATCTCATCTTTGTGGTGCTATCACTGAATGCTGCCCCATATGCATCACGTTGGTAGAGTGACACTGGCATCTCATGCGCACTGTCTTGAATGTTCCATGCCATGCAGATGCTGTCCATGTTGCACGATGGTTGTGACATAACTGTGAAATGCCGAAAAAGATGTGGATGGGATGCTCGAATCTTTCTCCATCCTTCCAATGCTCTCCCACACTTCTCACCAGCAATGTGCTTTCTGATTCTGCCAGCATATTCAATTGTCTCATCATGCAGCCATCTGTCATCAGGCCCAATGTTGGACAATCTTGCAGTTGCCCTGCCACTAGCAAAATTCCTCTGGCAACATGTCCTTGAGGTTGTGCATTTGGGTCAAACCATCCAGTCACATACTGATGAGCTTCAAATGTCACTCTGAACTTATCAGTGTTTGCCTCCCTCATGGTTGTGGGATGCATCTTGCCAGTGCTGCCATCAGGCAATGGCATGCTCATCTTCCATGAGCTCTCAGTGGCAGCCTCGCCAGCAGGCACAATGCCTTCCTCATGCTCATTGTCATCAGCTATGGCTGGCTGC